TAAGCAAGGATTAGAATTAAAGGACATTTGGAAAACTTCCACCATGGTATATGTCTTTAAATATCGACTTCCACCATATAATAGCTAATAAACATTCACTTGAGATTTAATATAAATGCAGTATTTAGGAGATTCTTTGAAAGAATGTCCTTTCAAGAATAAGAACAGAAACCAATTGCTAACAGCCCCAAGTTAGTGTCCGCGTGGAGGACCTTCAAGGCCGATAGCTAGCCGGTAAAGTAAAATGGCGAGTCTTTGAAGAAAGAGATAAAACACAACACATGAGAGAAGGGGAGCAAGGAAAGAACCTGTGTATAGGAAAACCACTAAGCACAAGCTGAGGACAAAGGTAGAGTACTCCAAGGGTGAGCACCCTCAACCTTGGGGTTGTAGTTGTGCGGGTGGCTGGAAGTCAAAAACCCTAAAATTGTAAATTACTTTGATTACAGAAATATCTTAGAATATACATAGATTCCTTAAGAAATATTCTTAATAATATACTGTTTGTGAAATAATTAAAAGAATAATTTCTTAGTGAATAAATTAGGTGAATTATGACAAGATAAAGATAGGTTGGACATCAGCATGGGTTTGGAGAGTAGCGTTGGTGGTGAACTGGTGAACAATCAGAAGAATTTTTCTTATTCAGTAGGTGTATACAATTTGGGTGACTGGATTTTTTTTTTCTAAGATAATAAATAAGGAATGACAGAAATGGAAACACTAGCACAATGTTGAGTAAAAAACCATTGAGAGGGATACTAATATATCTTGTAGTGGTTTTGTTCACAATCACCTTTAAACTTTGGAATGGGAGCCCATGGGGTGTAGTTTTGAGTGATTGGGATCATCATGGCAGCTCAAGTGATTTCATCTTACCAGCACCAAAAAATTACTCCAAAGGCTCCCTCTCTATGACACTGTCTCCAAAATTTAGTATATACACCTCAGCTCCACAGGATTTGGTTGTCTTGCACGCAGGGATGGATCGGTACACTGCACTGATTAGTGGTCAAAGAACGTTAGTACAAGATTTGGTGATCAATCCACCAAAGTTTGTTTTAGACAAGCTTCGTATTGATCTCTTCTCATACAACCAAAGCGTGAGAGCAAATTGAGACTCTCCTGCTTGTTTGGTTCTAATGTTGATCTTTTAGCAGCTCCATATCGGGACTGATGAATCTTACCACCTCCAAATTCCAGATCCTTTGGATCCAAAAAGCGCATTTCTCCAGGTAAGATCTTTTATTTGTAAAAGCATTTGTTTGTTGGTTGGTTCGAACAAGGCAAACACTGTCTATGGAGCCCTTCGAGGATTGGAGGTAATAATTGAAGAAATTAGTCAGGCTTGGTTCAAAGTTTTTGTTGCATAGACTTTCAGTCAGATCTGCAGATACAATGTTGAAGCAAAAACTATTTTTTTGGAGAATTGCCCTTGGGACATTTTTGATGAGCCAAGATTCTTGTATAGAGGCCTTTTGATAGGTATGAATTTTTATTTTCTTTTAAATCTTAATTTTGCTAAATAACTAGATACTGCACGACATTACTTACCATTAAACACAATAAAGACTATTATTGATTCCATGGCCTATGCCAAGCTAGTAAGTGCTTTGGCTTAATAATTTATCAACTTACTCTGTTCCAGAACGTTTTGCATTGGCATATTTCTGACGATGAATCATTCCCTTTGGAGATCCCTTCTTTCCCAAAGCTTTGGAATGGCTCTTACTCAAATAAACAACGCTATAGTCTCGACCATGCAAAAGACTTAGTCAAGTAAGCTTTAAAAGGGATGAGAATAATAAATAAGTTAGTAACTATCTAAGGTATGCTGAACTGAGGGGTATAAGTATAATGGCTGAGATCGATGTTCCAGGGCATGCCCGTTCTTGGTATGCAGTTCTCTTTTATGCTTTATGAGATTACTTTGCAATTTACAGGGGAGTTGGATATCCTCAGTTGTGGCCTTCCCAAAATTGCAGAACTCCACTAGACGTGAGTAAGGAGTTCACGTTTGAAGTGATTGATGGCATCTTTTTTGGTAATATAGATGATATTTATTAAAATTCTAAAATATTTAGTGCATGCAAACTTGCTAGATTTGCGTAAGGCATTTCCATTTGAGCTGTTACATATTGGAGGAGACGAAGTAAATACAAGTAAGAAGTGATGAATTATTATTATTTTATTAACTCTTGATAATAACAGATTGTTGGGAAAGCACAAAGCTTGTTTCTGAATGGTCTGATATTCTCAAAATCAAATTCGATTGAAACTAGATACTTTTATGATAGGTTGGGCAAGCACAATTTAACAGCCACACAAGCGTACAAGTTTTTTGTGCTTGAAGTACAGAAGCTAGCTATGAAACATGGTTATGTTCCTGTTAGCTGGTAATCCATGCATTGCATAACATGTATTTATTTTTCTCTACAATACTTCTAGGCAGGAAGCATTTCAAAATTTTGGATCAAGCTTGCCAAAGAACACAATCATCCAGAACTGGTATAAGAAAATCAATATGTGGTGTTTCAAAGTAAAGCTATGTTGTTACAGGCTTGGATCTGCAATTGCTCCTAGTGTGGTCAAGTCAGGACTGAAGTGCATAATAAGCGAGCAGGCTTCATGGTACCTGGACCATTTTGAAGTCACATGGGAGCAGTTTTACAACAAGGAGCCATATGATAGCATCACTGATGGTAGAGAACAACAACTAATTCTTGGTGGTGAAGTGTGTATGTGGGGAGAGAAAGTGGATGGTAGCAACATTCACCAAATAATATGGCCAAGAGCAGCTGCTGCAGCAGGTAAGTTGATTTTAACATTTTTATTCATTTTATTCATTCTTACTATAGAGAAGTTTTGGAGCCCATTTTCTGTCACAAATCTAGGTCCACACAAAGCAGGTGATAGAATGGAAACTTTCAGAAGATTATTAAATGAAAGAGGAATCTAACTGATTATTTGATAACTAGAAATTGGTGGCAATATCAAAGCTAATCTTAGTTTCTAACAGTTGATAAATTGCAATACATGGCTCTCTTCCATCTTCAATTGCTCGAGCTCCCAAGTCCCAGCATGCTAGCTCCAATTCTCTAAGTTTTGCTCTCCATCAGCAGTTGAACATATGTGGCAAGATGTCATACACTTTCCTCAAGCAAAGGTGAGAAGTTTGGGCTCGTAGCAAGCATTGTTGTTTTGGAATGCAAAGGCAATTTCCCATATGCAGGAGACCCAACCTACATGCCTACCTCATAGGACCGCAACTGGATTTGATTTTTTTGACCTAGGGCAATGACACATGATTCAACACAGCTGAAAGTGCATCGAACTGGGTTGTTGTTTGCATATCGAGCAGTGAGGAGCTCCATAGAGTCACACAGCACTGGACAGTTCCTTGTCACATTTAGAAGAGCCATACGCTTGCACATGGCAATCTAGCTCTCTCACAGCTCAGAATTTGTCAAAGAATTGAAAATCCTACTTCAACCCCTCTTAAAGCATCAGGCGAGCTCCATGCCATCCAGCTCGCAAAAGTCGCTCACCTTGATGAATTGAAGCTATGCCTTACTATCCCCCATTACAGCCACCAAATTGAGACAAGCTCTTTGACACATGCATATGGCTCATGCCCAGAAACCAAGTAACTCGGCCCAGCAAACACCCAGGGACACCACGAATCTCTCACCCAACTCACAAAAACTCCTCAGCTGGGTCTTCTCTTGCTGAGGTGGAGGAAGTCAATGAGTGAATCTCCCAAAACTCCCGGCAGTATATTAGATTTCAACAGTGAGGAAGTTCTGTATGCAAGTCTGAGATCATTGCTGTGTGAATCTCTCCTTCATATGGATGCCATAATCTTGGGATTCTGACGACTATAAGCAAGCTGCACAGCCTGGGCAAAGCAGGTGCACTGAGCATGGTTGGTGGGCATGAATACTCTGGTCGCTCGTTGCTCACAGTCTGAGATAGGGTATACGTGCTGGGAGTGATCCTGGAGCCCAAGGGCTTGACAAGGGATAGACAAGAATGATGCACTACTTCCTTTTGATGAGCTCGGACCTCGGGATCAAGCCGCTGGTAGACCGAGCAAAATTTTGTATTTTTTTTTTGTTGGCTTATTTCTTAATTAAGGCAGTATCAAGATAGGACTACATGAGCATTTGCCTTGGAAGGGCATTTTGTTGCTCTTGATTTGGGACCACAAAGTTTTAATTTAAGTTTTCTCCTTTGTGCATTTAGGATCTGGATGGCAAGGATTTGAGCAAGTTACTAACAACCTCTTATTAGTAATAATTTAAGAAAAGGAAAAAGTAATCCACCTTTTATTTTCACTATTTAGAATGATATCACAAACAACATTTTTGTAACATTTTTTGTATATGGACGTTTTTTGCATGCATGGAAGTTTGTATGCATGTCCTCCTCATGCTGCCAAAGCCCAGGCCGCTATAGAGTGCTCATCCTCTCCATCCTCTCCTTGCCCTCACGAGGGAATCCATCCAAATGGCCGAAAAAGTGATTGTAAGTCTGTCACCACCAGTTCAACCCGTAAGTCTGGCACCAAGTCGTACAAGTAAGTGGAGCCATCACCCATCAGAGACACACAAGACTTGCAATAAAAAACCTTGAGTTTACAAAGGCTTAAAGGTTAGAAAAGCCACTTTGAGAAGATCTTACCAGCAGTGAGATGCTCACTGCACATTCCCAGAGCAGAAATTTCCAAGAATCCTGGTAATCTCTTGGTATTCGTGGACCCAGCAAAACCTGCAACTGCTGAGACGGCCACCTGCACTAGCAACGACTGTTGCAATTTCTTCCCAGTCAGCGCCCGTTGCCCCACTTTCAGCTCGCTAAGCAAGCAACAGTGCAAGAGATACCTTTGGCGCAACAACAGCGTCTTCTTCCACACAAATACGGCTCGACATTGTGAACGACCTACTTTACCCAAGGTGGCACATGCATTTGCTCTCCGCATTTTTTAATTAACATCTTGATAATGGAAGAAACCCTTCTATATTAATTTTTAATTTTTTCCGTTGTCCATCGAACAGTATAAATGTCTTAACTTGGTTTGGACGAGAGTTCTATCTAAAGCAGATTGAAACCAGTGGCACGTCCCAGTCCTCGCCTTCGTCGTCCTCGCACGCCACAATCACGTCAAAGTGCTTCCTGTTTGGAGGAATGTCCAGCTTCGCCACCTCCTTTGCGAGCTCCGACACTTTCCTGCCCAGCCGCTCCTTGTGCCGCGGAAACAAGCTGTTGTAGAGCAGGCTCTGGCCACACGAGATGCTGTAGGCTGTCAATCCCTTGGCCTGGAACCACTCCAGGAGCTCCGTCAGCGTGAGGTCCCCTTGGATCACCCATCGGTCCCAGATCGACCAGGCCAGCTCGCCGTGCTTGAACGACTTGGGAGGAACCGGCTCGGCCATGGAGAAGAGCGGCAGGGCCAAGTTGGCGAACGTGTTCCTGTAGTCTTCCACCCCCTTGTCCTGGAACACCTTGTACAGCTCCAGGCAAACCAGGCCAGTCGCCAGTGCCGTCGTCGTCGCGATGGCTGGAATGATCTTCCCGGCTATGAACTTGGCCTTGAGCTTGTCCACCTCGGGGATCTCGTAGTTTCTCGCTCGCATGTTTGCGAGCGCCGCTATCAGCTCCATGTGATAGTTTGTGTCATCGTCCTGTTACAACGTGTACCATCGTCAGTAGAGTTCATCAACAAAAGAGAAAAATTCGAACCTTCTCAAATTGGATAGGAACGAGGCGAAATCCCGTTGGCAGCGACTTAGTACCGTCGTCCAGCGTGCTAATCAGCTGATCGATGACGGCAGCGTCGTCCAAGCTGGAAGCGGTCAAGTTGGTGGCCTTCTCATCGGTGACAATCTTCACACCCTGCTTGGGCTTGAACTCTGGGAGATTGATCTTGTCGACGACTTCACCAAGTTGCTTCGGGTTGAGCACCCACACGGGCCTGGGGATGCCATACGTTTCAGCCCGGAGGATGGCCGCCGATGCTACGAAAGAAAGATGAGAAGGATCGGTCGACGAAAACTGAAGAGCTCGCGGAAAGCGTTTCGGTGCAGACCAGAACCGAGCTCCGGAGCTTGTGGTTGAGTCCTCTGGAAACGTGTACGTGAGCTGCTTGACTCTGTTCACGAAGTAGTCCTCGAACCTACGCAAAACAGTAAGGTGGTGGTGATAAACGAAACACAAATTTCCAAATACCTTTTCCTCGCCCAGACGATGCAATCCTCAAACGTGTGGCATCTCTCCGTGACAAGGCACTCAACAATGCGCTCGAGCATCTCTCGGGACAGAGCATCCCCAGCGGACCTTGCTGACGACTTGTACTCCTGCGGATTCGAGAGAAACGCGTTGGCTTCGGAAGGTGTCTTCTCGAGCAGCCCCTCAAACTCGGACCTTGCCCACGTCAAGCAGTGGTCGATGTTGTGGGGGAACGAGTGGAGCGTACACATTGGAGCTTGCTTCTCGGGAGGGTCTCTGGACGCCCCGTAGTTCTCAGTTAGATGCGGTATAACCATCTGCGTGTTGCACTTGGGCCCCAAGGTTCCAGACTCGAGGAGAGGCTTCTGGAAGTAGACAGCCCTCGAGTCCACGTAAAGTCTCGCCTTGACGTTGTCCAGAGCATTTATCACGACGTCCAAGCCACCCCAAAAGACGTCGTCAAATATGTTCTCTGTATCCTGGCTGATACGGTTTTGGAGAGCTTCAGCGTTAAGCGACGAGTTGATGCTCAGAGCAGCCGTGGACGCAACCGTGGACTTTGCTTGCCCGATGTTCCAGTCACGGAAAAGAAACTGCCGGCTGAGGTTGCTCTTTTCAATCACGTCGTCGTCGGTAACTGTAAGCTTTCCACTCCCGCAGGCTACACCCATGAGAGCCAGATTCTTGAGAAACTCGCAGCCAAGAGCACCAGCTCCCACAACGAAAACTTTCGCATTTTCCAGCTTCTGCTGCACCTGCCTCCCAAACACGGCTATCTGAGCATCGTAGCGGCCACCTGTAGGAGCAGCGTCCTCGGCCGAGAGAGGCTCAGATGGAACGGATTCGAGCGAATCGAAGTAAAAGAACTGCAAAACAAAGCACTCAATATCTACGCCACGGACAAGAAAAAGACAGCGCGCACCTGAAACAAAGGATGGAACTTGCCGGAGCAAGCTTTCAACACTTCCTGCCCAACGATGCCTCCAAACATCGCAGCCATGGGATTCAAAACGGCTTTTGATCCACTTGCGAACTTCGTAAGAATAGACTCGTCAATGTTGTCGAGCTTCTGATCTCCCGCACTGTCGTTCAAGCGCTTCGCAATGGCGATGAGCGCCTGTGCATCCTCCCCGGATCCTGGAGCGGGAAAACGTCCTTCTTGAGCACAGAACGCATCCAAGGCACGGAAGGCCAGGTGCAAGAGCGGAGGCCTATCGAACTTGGAGAAGTCGCTCAGAAGAAAATCCCCCGGGTTTTGAATTGCTTCCTCCAAAGTCTTAAAGTTCAAAACCTTTGGCTGTTTCACCTGCGTGACGATCCCCCCGGCTTCATAAGCACAGTAACCAGTCGTGTCCTCCTCCAGAGTGAAAGAATACGGTCGGGCATTCTTTATTTTCCTGGGCCGCCCATCGTTTAGCTCCACCATTCCCTTCACTTCGTTGAAGAGAACCAAGTCGCCGTCCTGAAACTCCAGCCTCTCGTCGTCGACGCAGCAGACAACAGCCGGGTTGTCATTACTAATCGACGCGATGATCCCTGTGTGTGGTTCCTCTCCATCCACATCCACCACAGTGAAGTCCGGCCCAAAGTCACAAAAGACGCTCCCAAAGATGCCCCTGATGTCTGCCTTGATGAAAGCAATCGGTGGGTTGTGGTTGTGGCAGAAGTTGTTAAATCGGATAGCCTCCTCCAGGCTTGAATCGGTGAACACGACCACCTAGGTAGAGATATAAGTTGGCATACTATTCCAGAAATTATTTCGAAGAGAATAGTACCTGGTAGTTCGACAAGATCTCCTCCGTGAGCTCGGTGGTGAGCACCGAGATATTGACCGCGTTGTTTAGTTCCTTGAGCTTGTCAACGCAAGCAAAGGCCCTGTTCTTCCCCACGTCCGCCTCAGAGAAGTAGAACTGGGAGGAAAGATCCCAAAGCTCCACCGTCCCGGAGTCGTGAATCGTCACGGATTTCACCCCCGCCAAGATCACGTTCTTGGCTGCCACAACGAATCATCAAATGGAAATTTCGTGATTTTTCTATCAATCGCTTACCGATCTCGACGCCAAGCCCTTGCAACCCCGAGACGAGAACGTTTGCCCCGAACAAGCGGCGCATCGTTTCGCGGCCATAGACGGCGAGCTGCCGGCTGTGCAAATCCTCGTCAATCTCCACATCCGATGGAACCGCCACCGCGCCGCCATCGCCTCCCATGACAAGGTCGCACTGCTGTGCCGCTAGGGCGCTGGAATCACCCGGCCGGACGCGCTTGGACTGCTTGCTCGAGCCTTCCTCCCCTGTCGCAGCGGTTCTCTTTTTGGGTAGCATACGGTGTGACGCAATTGCCGCGTTGAGCCTATCAACACACCCAAAGAATCCTTAGCATCCCTAGGTAAGAACCCTAAAATATCGATCCAGAGAATGGCAAAGGGGTTTTTGTGAGCGCGCACCCGCTGGTAAGCAGCCTGAAGAAGATGACGACCGCGACCAAGAGGAGGAACGTTTGGATCATCAGATGCGCGCGCCCGGCGAGAGGGAGCAAAGCGCCAAAGAGAGAATCACTCGACGCCGCTTGAGAGGAAAAATTCCCGTGCCCAAACCCCACGCGCCTCGCGCAACCCTAGCTATGGCGGTACTCCACTCATCGACGGGTCATGACCCAGGAAAGAGAGAAGAGAGAGGGGGAATATTGTCCGGGCACAGCCGCGAATATTCGCTACCAGAATGTGCGCGAAACATCTTCAAAGTTACCAGAATATTCCTCACAACAAAGGGAATATCCTCGCGAAATGGTCAGGGACTTTCAAAGCCATAGATTCGAAAAACACCTGTAACGAAGGAAGAAAAAAAAACGATTTTTTTCGTAAGGAGCGACCGATGAGCAGTGCATACCTTCGTCGGTTTGGTACTTGTCGACTTGCTTGTCCGCTGCAAATGCCAGGAGATTGTACTTTGGATTCCACTCGACGCTGTTCATGGCTGCGCGGCACGGAATCTGGTGTACCGATCTTCCAGTTTCCACCTCCGCCTGTGGTAGGAAGTCACAGCTTTCCGTAAGGTTGATCCATCTCGAAGCGAGAGAAAAGTGGGAGCAGAGAAAAGTAGCTTACAATTCCAATGAAGAGATCTTCGCTCGCGGAAGCAAGGTACTGGCCGTCGTGACTTATGCTTATCGTCCTCACAGGCCATCTGGAGAAAAAAAGCGTTCGCTTATGTGAAGTTTACGAAAGAGAAGTATAAGTTGGGCTACTTACTCGAGTTTTGTGAAGGTCCTAACACACAGCATTTCGGACGCATCCCACAGGCTCACCAAAGCGTCCGCGCTTCCAACCGCAAAGTATCTGAGAATGTAGAGGGAAATAAGGAAAAAGAAGCTTAGGAACTTTTCACAGGAATTTCGAGCAGCAAACCTGCCTGCCAGTAGGATCTATAGCGATGCAGTAGCAGCCGGCTGTATGACCAATGAGCGTCTGGAGTGTTTGCAGCGATGGATACGATAGAACCTCGACAGTCCCTGCAGTACCAAACCCTCCTGAAACACTCAATATTGAGCAGCTCCCGAGCAAAGGTGAAAAATACCTCACCATTCCCAGTTGTCAGGAAGAAGAGCTCACCAGTGCTATTCCAAGCTATTTCGTTCACCTGAAGTGGAAACAAGTACTTAGAGCCTCAAAACAATATTTATGCTTCTTACTTCATAGGCAAATTTCCGTTTTTGGAGAGGCTTGAACTTACGAACATCAATAATGGTAAGCTCGTCGTCCTGCAGGTAGATCTTGGTTGGAAGAGAGCCAAAAAAAAAAGGATTCCATTGTCACTGGCTTACCCTGTTACCGACAGCAATGTGTGTTCCATCTGGTTTGAAAGTGATATTGATGTTCTCACCACTCAACTCAACTTGCTGTGAACACTTCCCAGCTGAAAATGATTGAGTGAGTGGGCTGACGAGAAAATAGAAGATCAATCGCTATACTTACTGCGAGCATCCCAGAGACGAACAGTCTTATCCCCGGACGCTGTCGCAAGAAGGTCGGCGTGTCTGGGGTCCCAGCACAGCTGATCGACGCTATCACTGTGTCCTTTAAGTTCGATATCCTTGTTCTTACTCTGAAAAGAAAAGAGAAAGAAAAGAACGGAAAAGAAAAATCCGTGAGCACGAAGAAATTTGTGTTCTTACTCTGTCAGATACAAAGAAACGAAAACATAAAAGAGGATTTCGAGCGCCAAAGAAAAAGAACTTACATGCCCGTGAGGTTCTACATGCCAAATGCGAGCAGTCTGATCGATGGAGCCAGACGCGAGCTTCTTTCCCGTGCAATTCCAGGCCACAGAATGTACCTGGCAGGAACAAAGCTTTGAAATTTCTCCTAGAAGAAATCTCCACAAACCTTCTTCTTGTGGCCCGAGAACTCCCGGACGTGCAGTGCCTTGAAATTGATCTTCTCGGAAGAAGAGCCAGGCGCGCTCCCACCGCTGCTGCTCACGACCGCCAGCGGCTGCTGGAGTGGCTGCTGCGATTGCTGGGAGCGCTGGATTTGCTCGCTCGCCATTTGCCTGTAAACCCTAAAAACCTAAAACATTTAATGTTATTTTTGTAATAAACCACGTCTCATGCTTTACACTAGCAAGATTGTGTAAACAGTATGTGAATGAATGAATGATTTGGAAAATTCCTTTGAAGTCTTGAGTTAGATTTCTTATATGTGAGAAACATATTTATTCTGTGTCAAAAACAAATGGGATTACACAAAGTTTGCCTCTCACATCCTGAAAGACATTGATCCGCCATGGAACTTGCGCGATGATCTTGTCACGCACCACCGCAAAGCTCACCTGATCACGCGGTGTAAACCTGTCGAGCTCGTTGAACCAGAGGCACGAAAACAGATTCGCGATCGGCGTGTACATCACACAGCTTTCAGGAACGTCAGTCACCAGCGGCATCCTGGTGGCGCGGTCGTACGGGACGAGTACGGTAGAACTCCATCTGCGCATCAAGCTTGGTTTTGTTGTCGTACCTCTTGTATCGAATGATCGCCTTCGCCTCGTCAAACGCATCCGAGCGCGTAATGGTTATCGATGGCCATGGTATCGCCGCTCCTCCACAGGAATCTCTGGAGAATCTGGATGGGATCCACTACTATCTGGAGCTTGGCATCGATCCAGATGGAGAAGCGCGCGGACGAGCGCAGCAGCATCTTTGGAATCTTTCCCTTGGATCGGTTGTCTCGCCCGTATGCGGTGTTTCGTACGCGGATGATCCTGCAGGCCCCGGTTTCAACTCTTTCTCTCTGGAGAGTTTGCAGGGTCTCGTCGTCCACAAACATTGCGAAGCAAACGATCTTGACGCTGGTGCTGCTCAAGTTGGCGGGCGGCTTCAACACGCCATAGTCGCCGAAAATCGCAGAGGGTACGACGATTCCCTTGCATCCTTGGAGGTAATCCATGTCGGCCTCCTCCTGGATCTCGAATCCGGAGCCCTTTCTCCTGGGCCTGGCGAATCCATACGGAACTTCCATCGACTCTCTGATCTTAAATGATTCTCGCCCTTCTTCGAGGCTGCAACGCCCACCAAATGGTGTGGAGTCTCCAAACTCCCGGTGGAGATAAGTGAGAGTCGAGAGGATAAGCTTTGGGAAGATCCCCTGTGGGGGCAACGTTTTCAGTGCTTGATCCACAGGAAGGTAGCAAACCAAACATGGAGGAGAAGGATTACCAAGGGATCTGCTGGAGGGATGATCTTCTGGAAGTGGTGGATCCTTGAAACTTGTCGATGGAAGAACACGAACGACATCCTCTCTGTAGATTATCACATTCCAAGAAGCGACTATCAAACAACAAAGAAGGAGAAACTTTGTGAGGGTCTCTCCTTTTCTTTGCTCTCCATTCTCCTTTTCTTTGTAGGTAAACTTCACTTGGTTGGAAGACTTCTTTCCCCTGTTGACCGAATCGCAACTCTAGGCGCTGACATTTCGGTCCATGCAAGCTCCATATGAATTTAATTCTGTACAATTTCCACAATCGGTGAAATTTATAAAGAAAAATACAATCTTTACACAAAGTATTACTTACATTACTTTATACAGTTCCACCATCAGCAATCAATTTCACTTCGAAGACGCTATCGCCGGTCGATTCTGCGATAGTAAAGAAGGATTAAAAACTTTCAAAAACACGAGAAAACTCCTACCAATGTTTGCTGTCACCCCGGGGCCGAAGAAAGATGTGAATTTGGCCTGAAAGAAACAAAACAAATGTGATTTGTGGCAACCAAGAAAAGTTCGCTTACTTGACGAGTGAGAAAATCTTCGAGCTGGAGAGCCTTGGCTTTGAAGACGAGGACGAGCGTGTACTTGCCTTGATCACTCACTTCCTCGCGAATGGATTGGAGAACTGGGCCATTGCGAGCTTGGATCCCTCCTCCCTGCGAATTGAGCCTCTCGATTTTTAGTTTATAATCGCAAGTGTTGAGAATGCTGCTGTACCTGACTGAGAGGAATTGGCTAGTTTTTATACCTGGCCGTAGCGAAAAATTCTCTTGAGCGCCTCTTCCAGGTGCTGCTCATCTCCGTATCTATACCGGATCACGTCTTCTCTAACCTGTTCAAACATCACGAACGAAACCATCTAAAAAAGGAAACGAAGAAAACTTTCTTTTTTACCTGCTTGAGAATTGGAGTCGCTTGTGATTCTCTCAATGCCAGAGCATCCGCGTAAGTTGTGCAAGGCACGGGCTTGAGCTCAGCATACTGAAAATTTCCAAACAAAGATTAAAGCTCCAGCTTCATGCATGACAATATACCTTGAGCGCCATTCCAATGATCGCGAGTGGAAATCCATACGTTAGCATCAAAGAGGACCATTCTGATCCTGGTAGAATGGTAAAGTATGCGCCAAAACCATAGCTTCATATGCGAAAGAACAAAAAAAGAAAAGAGAATTTCATATCAACCGATACTTTCTTTGTAACTTGAAGCTTACGAGAGAAGCCCTGAGCCGAGAAAGAGTCCAATTGTTCCAAAAGATGTCTAAAATCAACACAATGTTTCCCAATCGGCAAGAAAGATCAAAGCCAACACCTTTGTGATCGACCAGCTGTTATCAGGAACAATTTCCTTGCTCTTGGTTCCAGAGCTTGACGCCGGAGCTGCCGCATCCAAATCAACCCCAGCCGCTCTCACAATGACACGCCTGATCGCCGGGCCATTGCCGCCGCGAGTAACAATCCAGTGCGCGGACTTCCTGCGAGAGATCGGCGCCGCAAGCCCTACCGGCGGAAATCCACACGCTCGTCCAATGGCCGCCATAGCCAACACCACCACACAAACAAGGGCGCCTAGATTGCTTGAATCTCCGCCGTCGATTCAAAGATAATCCCTAGCCACGTGTTCCAATGCCCTAACGAACCTCCGCCGTTGGATGCGATTCTAATCCAGCGGCCAGATTCAAACTCTTTCGAAAGCTCTCTGTACAGCACACACACGAGAATGTCTCCGTCGCATTCCACTTTAAACACGTAAAATACTTCCAGCAACGAACTTCACGACCATTGAATGAAGCATTCAAAGATCACTACCTTGTCTAAATTCGCTGACAATACCGCAAGAACAAACAAAGCAAGATAGATGGGAGATCAAATCACATTGGCCAGCTGGAAAATTAATCTGGCCGTACACACTGTGTACGAAATGGTCTGACGGGTATGACGGGCTTGACGTGTGTTTTTTTGTTTTCTCTCTATCGAGCAAGCTAGCTATGGCGAGAATTCAAAGCCCTTTGTGGCTTTTGCGAGAGTGTCGTTGAGCAGCCAGATGCCCAGACTGGGTATCTGCTCGCAGCATTTAAAATGGTTCCAACAAAGAACCCACATTCTGGGTACTTCCTCTTTCTCATTTTGTCTATCTGGTTAGTTTTTGGGTCTCTTCTTCCTCTTTTTTCTTCTGTGGTTCTTCCCGGACCCTTTGTCCTGCGATGAGTTTCAAACCTCTTCTTCTCTTCAATCTGGATAGAGCTTGGAGGGCGATGGTGTGAGCGATAGAACTTGGAGGGCGATGGCGTGAGCGAGCAGAGCAGCATTTCTTTGGCTGTGCTTTCGCAGCAATGGGAATTTGCAAGGATATCCACATCCTCCATGTCGCATCGTCGGAGAAGCCAGCACCAACAGCGGCATCGAAGCCTGTCCATCAAAAGGACTCCTCTCAAAGGTAAGCTCTCTCCGCTCTCTCAATGGATAGACAAATTCTCACCTTGTTCTTCGCTCTTTTGATTGTGATTCTTTTCCTTCCTCCAGCATGTTTCTTCCGAAGCTCGCAGATCCACCCATCAATCCAAACTTCAAGCCCGTGGACTACGTCTCGACGCTGGCTGAAATCCATAAAGAGCTAGGCGTTGCTACATCCAACCAAGAAAAGTCTCGACTCTACCTGGAGCAGTCGTTCGTCTTCCGTGGCCTCGGCGAGCTCAAGCTCCTCCGCCGGAGCCTCCGTCTCGCTCGCCAGCACGCCACCACCAATCACCACAAGCTCGTCATCGCTGCCTGGCTCAAGTTCGAGAGGCGGGGTGAGGAGCTCGATGAGAACCCGGGCGAGAGCGCTAGTCACCGAGCTGCCGCTACTTCCACCAGGTTGGCCGATCATATCCCCTGCCTAGCTCTAGATTACTGCGATGAGGACGAGCAGCAGCAGCAGCAGCAGCACGAGAGGTGGCACTTCTCGGACGTAGTCTTCCACGTAGAGGGTGATCGGATTTACTGCAACCGGCAAAAGATGGCCGCTCTCAGCCTGCCTTTCGACGCCATGCTCAACGGCTGCTTCACCGAGTCGAGGAGGACCAACATCGAGTTCTCCAGGAACGGGATCTCGGCCATGGGGATGAGAGCCGTGGACAAGTTTGCTCGCACGGGAACCATCGGCAGGCCCTCCCCCACCGTCGTCATCGAAGTTATGACGTTCGCCAACAAGTTCTTCTGCGATAAGTTGAAGGAGGCCTGCGACCAGCGGCTGGCTACGTGCGTCCACACCCTCCAGGACGCCATCACCTTTCTCGACTGCGCTCTCGACGAGAACGCCCAGTCCCTGGTCGGAGCCTGCTTGCAAGTCTTCCTGCGAGAGCTGCCGAAGTCGCTGTACAGTGCCCCGGTGTCCAAGCTGTTTTCCACGCAGGATGGGCGCAAGAGACTGTCGGCGGTCGGCCACTCGTCGTTTTCTCTCTACTGCCTGCTCGGCCAAGCTGCCATGGACGACGACTTCTCGTCCGACATGACGGTCAAGCTGCTCCACTTCGCCAAAGACTGTGCGGTGTCGTCCAAGCAGAGAGCTCTCGCGTTGCACCAGCTCGGCTGCTCGATGCTCGCCAGGAAGCAGTACAAAGAAGCTCACGAGTTCTTCGAGGCTGCCGCTGACGAAGGCCACATATACTCGCTGGCCGGTGTCGCGAGAGTGAAGTATATGCGAGGTCACAGGATGGCGGCCTACTCGGAAGCCGCGAACATCATCGCTTGCTACAAGAACAGCGGCTGGATGTTCGAAGAGAGGTCCCTGTACTGTCTCGGCCATGACAAGCTCTCGGATCTCAACACGGCCACCGAGCTTGATCCAACTCTGACGTATCCTTACAAGTACCGAGCTGCGGTCTTGATGGACGAGAAGAAAGTTCACGAGGCTATCACGGAGATAAGTCGGGTCTTGCGATTCTGCATCACCAAGGACTGCCTGGAGCTCAGAGTTTACTTCAGTCTGGCGCTGCTCGATTACGACGCTGCTGTGAGGGACTTGCGGGCGCTCTTGACTTTCGATCCTGGGTACAGGATGTACTCTGGACGCGTCTGTGCTTCGCAGCTCCTGGATCTTCTCAAGCAGCATGTGGTGCAGTGGACCAAGGCAGATTGCTGGATGAAGTTATATGATCACTGGTCGTCTGTCGATGACATATCGTCTCTAGCAGTCGTTCACCAGATGCTGGAAACGGAAGCTGAGTCTTCGAAAGGCCTGCTTTTCTTCCGGCAATCTCTGCTGCTGCTCAGGTCTGTCGAAACTTTCACCACCTTCGTTTCTACGAGCTGACTGGTTGAATATGTAAATACTTGCTTGTTCACAGGCTAAGTTGTCCAAAGGCCGCGTTGAGAAGCTTGAGGCTGGCTCGAGAGCACGCCGATAACAACCAGGAAAAGCTCGTCTACGAAGGATGGCTTCTTTACGATACTGGACACCGCCAAGAAGCACTGAGAAAGGCGGAGGAGTCTATATCCCTCCAAAGATCCTTCGAAGCTTTCTTTCTCAAAGCATACGCCCTGGCAGACACCAGTTTGGATCCGACAGCGTCCACCAAAGTTATTGGACTGCTGGAAGAAGCTCTCAAGTGTCCGTCCGACGGGCTTCGCAAAGGCCAGGTACAAAACACGTCCGTCGAAAGCTTGACATAACTTCTCGACCGCAGGCTCTCAACAACTTGGGAAGCGTCTATGTCGATTGTGGAAAGCTGGAGCAAGCTCTGGACTGCTACGTCAACGCACTGAAGATTCGGCACACTCGAGCTCATCAAGGCCTGGCTCGTGTCTATTTCTTGCAGGGAGACCGCAAATCCGCTTTTGATGAGATGACAAAGTTGATCGAAAAGTCGATGAATAACGCGTCAGCATATGAAAAGCGAGCTGAGTACTGTGATCGCGATCTGGTCATGGCAGACTTAAGCATGGTGACGCAAATTGATCCGCTCCGGACCTATCCATACAGATACCGAGCAGCAGGTACGTCATCGCATCAGAAACTACAGACAGCTTTTTTACTTGAAACTTACTTGGTTGTTCCATCGTTTTTCTCCAGTTGCTATGGACAGCCAGCGAGATCGAGAAGCCATAGCCGAGCTCTCAAAAGCCATAGCTTTCAAGGCCGACTTACAGCTTCTCCACCTCCGTGCCGCTTTTCATGAATGCAGCGGAGAAATATCAGACGCTCTCCGTGACTGCCGCGCTGCTTTGTCCATTGATCCGACCCACTCGGACACGCTAGAGCTTTACGGACGTGTACAGCATCTCTCATAAATACTCAGCGTGAGGCTCAGCTCGACGATGGCTCGATGTGATCCTCATCTTGTAAAGTTCGTGAAAGTTCTCGAGGTAAAGTACTCATTTCCAAGGCGGCCACTTCTGACGTTAAGGCCCTTAACTCGTGCAGCTCAGAGAATGTATATCGAATCCGTTCATCTGGAACACACATTTTGTAAGTGAACGTTTTCCTTGCGAGTCAAATTCAAGTACCTCTTCCAATTTTACTCTGCGTCTTCACTGGAACATGCGGGTTCTTGACTCGCATCCGTCTGACCGATGATCGTTGAGAGTTAAGGTTTCCAGCTATACGATCGTGCTTCACAGTTACGCTGCGATAGTAATCACAGAACTGAAGAAGACAGCCTTCCGTGAGTAGCCAGCAGTCCGTCAGATCAAGCTCTTCCAGCGGAGGCGGGGGCTTCAACGAGCGCAGGCCTGCGTCTGTCAACACTGTCCCTTGAAACGCAAGGCTTCGCAGGTTCGGGAGAGCAGAAAGCTCGTGAAGCGATGCATCGGTTAAAAACTCGGCGCACAAGAGCAGGTGTGTTAACCGCACCAAACAAGCGAGTCGCTTGCAGCTCTTATCAGAAAATCGCGTGCGACGCAAGTCCAATCGTCTCAGGTTGTGGAGCTGCTGGAGATGAAGCACAGACCAAAACGAAGAGTCTACAGGAGCGCCTGCATGCACAAAGCACAAGTATAATAAACTTTCGTAAACTCGAAAACTGGCATACCTGTCAAGCTCGTGTTACTGAGGTCAATGTCAATCAACAACGGCATCAGCCCCAAGTATCCAAACACACTATCCGTAATCGAGGTGCCCCTGAGTGAAAGATGCTCCAGAGCTGGAACGTGACCAGTCAAAACTGCTACGCCTTCTGAGCCAACTCGTGTGTCACTGAGATCAAGGTGCTTTAGATTCCTCGCACACTTGGCCAGCAGATTCATGGTGTCACTCGAAACGCTTGGCATTGAGCTCAGATCGAGCTTGACTACTCGCTTCAAGCTGCCAAGGAAGGTCAAAGCTGCCAGGTTGGTCGCAGATAACTCGAGCACAGAGAGCTCGGGGAGTGAGTGACTGTGGAGGACTCTGAGTGGATCCTGTATAGTTGCTCCGGACAGACGAAGTTGATCGAGAGCTGACCCTTCTTCGGAAACCGATAGAACCACGCAGTGAGAGAGATTCAGCTGTGACACTCTCGGCATGGAGGGAACCACCGAAACCTTTGTCCATGCCAGGTTCAGTATTTCCAGCCTGGGAAAGCCCCTCAGCATATTTGCTCCTTCGTTTGTTATGCTGCTACCCCAGAGTTGGAGGTCGATCAAGAGTTGAAGTACCTGGAAGGAACCTTTGCAAGTCGATCAAAAATCTTTTATCGTTATAGAATGCATGCTTACCAGAAGCGAAGAAACATGAGAGTCTGTCACAGGTAAGCCGCCAAGATCCAAATGAGATAGGTTCCTCAGAACAGCCAACTTTCCAATCCCTTGCTCTCCAATCCCCGTTTCTGAGAGTCCCAAGTGCTTGAGCTTGCCGAGGGTTAATATGTGTTCCAATCCTTGGTTTGTGATCTTGGAGCAACGATCAACTCGTAGCTCTTCGATCGATTCCATTCCTACATTCCAACCGCAAAACTAAGTTTTCTTTCAAAAGAGAAATGGAGCTTGCCTGAGAGGTGCCATATCGCTGAATTGTTCAAGGCTTTGCAACTTTCGACTTTGAGAACTCGCAAATGCCGAAATCCACCGATGTAGGCCATCCATTCGGCATCGACACTGAGTTCTCCATTTAGATCCAGTTCCTCGACACTTAACTGGAAGAGCCTATGAAAAAAGAGTGTAAGCTAAAACGAGTTTCTCTATAGATCGATCGTTTCTATTCTTGTGCTTACTCTAGAAGTGGAGGCGAGAAGAGATTCTTGACAAGTAGCTGGTGAAGCAACGATTCCGCGAGATGAGCCGGTAAAATTTCCAGAGTTCGTCTCTGCCTACGCCAAGATCTCACACTGTCAGCGCTCCGCGATGCCGCTTCCAGGCACAAATCCACAAGCGTCCCGCCTCCCTCCATGGCCGCACACGATCGATTGCCGAGCTCGCAGCAACACAAAACCCTAGGATGCCGGATGGAGTGCAAACCAAGCAAAGAAGAAATCAAAATATTTATTCCCTGTTACTAGGCCTAGGGTTCTTATGTGCTCACGATCTTCGTCATGGCACGATCCTCCCACCGCGAAGATTTAAGCTCCGTAATGGATTCTTCGCTCTATCCTCGACGATGCAGCTCCTCTATGCCTTGCTTCTTCTCTTGATTCTCGGCGATGCCAGTGCTGCTGGGGAGTATTCAGAGGATGGCGATGATCAGGACGAAACATCCACTGATCTCACGACTGTCGTGCAAGGATTTGTCTCCTGCCAGGATTGTGATGGAAATTTCGACAAGCCCTCCCCAGGTATGTGTCGATTCCTTTGCTTGATTTATTCCTCTGCTCGATCTGCTCCATCTAATTTCCTTTCCACCAGGAGCATTGGTGAGAGTGGAATGCCGCGATGGGAGCTACGGCGAGGCCGCATCGAACCGCGATGGCTTCTTCCAGATCAAATTCCCCCAGACCTACAAGAGCGTCTACGATCCCCCCGAATCGTGCAAGGCGATGATCCTCGCGTCGCCCGATCGGTCGTGCGACACAGCCACGGATCTTGGAGGCGGCAAGAAGGGCGCGGCGCTGGAATTCGAGAAGATTTTCATGGGCGAAGCGTTCTACAAAACCGGCCCATTTGCTTTCATGCCCTACTGTACAGACGAAGACGAAGAACCCTAAATTTCAAAAAGAGAAAATTTTCAATAAAATTTGCCGCCAAATGAAGCTTTTAGGGTTCTTGCCGCTTGCTTTACATTGAGCGAAGCTATTGATCAGTAGGAGCACATTGGAGTAAAAGAAAACGCATTTGTAGTGAAATAGGCGATGTTTCCCGCGACTCCGGAGAATTGGGGCTTGGCGCCGCTGTATCCAGAATTTACATTCGTGCGATAATCGCAGGATGGGTCCCGTGAGCGGACGATTTTCGCCAGGCAGCGGTGGATCTTGAGCTTGCTGCTGTAATCGTACCCATCCAACCGGATTTCCACGTAGCCATTCTCGCGGGAAACTCCTTTGCCGAGGGCGACGAGCTTGCCGGTGGAAATCGCCGTGCATTCTACAGAAACCTCAGCCCCTGGATGGACTGGAAAAGATAAGTCCATAGCAAGCGATTGATCAAACATAACACACCTCCCAGATGTCTGCTCCAGTCCTTGTAGCAATTCTGGCAGAAAACGTAGCCTTGAACAACGGTGGCGTTGATTCTTTGCGAACTGCCCGGAGCTGTGTAAGGATCAATAGCTTCCACTGCTGCCATCAAACTTGAGAGTAAAACCCCACCAAGAAGAACCAGAATCTTTGTAGCAGCCATTTCTTGCTCGCGATCGCCTTGCTATGTTCTGATCTTATTAAGCAGCCCTCGGGCTAGAAAGTGGGACGTGCAAAGAATGTGATTGCACGACCATAACGTGGCCACAAAATCTCCATAACACCTTGCTTTTCCCAGTATCGATACAAGTTTTGCTTGATCTGGTAGAAAAAATCATGGCATGATATCACGTCTCGCATGGATATAAAAACCAGAAACCTCAAAAGCTTGGAAGCATCAAGCAATCTCGTTCTTTCTAGCTTTTCCATCATCTTAAGTAGCTCTCTTCAAGATCAAACCAGTTAGCGATGGGTTCCAACAAGAGTTTGATCTTGCTGCTTGCCCTCTCCCTCGCAGTGTCCGCCCTCGCCGTGGATTCATACGACGTCCCACACAAGGTGGTGGACGAGGTGAAGGTCCCCAAGGTGCCCGAGGTCCCCAAGGTCCCGTACAAGGCACCCGAGGAGCCCAAATACGGCCACGACTACGGCTACCCCCAGCACTACGAAGTCGATACCACTGTCATCCAGGGATACATCTACTGCCAGGGCTGCTACGGCCAATGGACGAAGCACATTGTCGGTACGTCTACAATAGAATATGCTAGGAAGATCGTAACATTGTGGTATGAATAAAAGGTGGCGAGGTGGCCGTGGAGTGCAAGAACGAGAAGGGCGCAGTGGTCAAGGGGAGCGACAGTACGGACAAGGACGGGTTCTACCAGGTGAAGCTGCCGTACGTGGTCAAGACGAAGACGTGTACGGCCAAGCTCGTCAAGTCGAGTGACTACACTTGCGATGTCATCACCAATGTGGGCAAGGGCAAGGAGGGCGCTGGTGTTGCCTACCTCAAGACCTTCAAGAACGAGGTCTTCTACAAGGTCGCGCCCTTTGCTTTTAGCCAGGTCTGCCACCCACACTACTGATTCGATAGGTTCCATGGGTTCTAGAGGCTCCAGCGATTCGGTTTGTTTGAGCGATTCTTTGATTCATCAATAATATGGGAGAGTTTCCGCACATCTTTGGATATTTCTTCTCTATCTCGAGGCGCCCCCGGCGATGGCTCCTGCTCGAGAGTCTCGGCTGCTTTCCATTCTCATCAGGTTCGTTCTTGAGTGGGATTGAATTGAGTAGAATTTTGGAGTATCTTGGCAAGAGAGACCTCAGATGAGCTTGCTCAAGGCAGTGATGGACACGAGCAGGGGATCTAGACCGAGCCAAGACCAGCGCGCGCTTCTCGAGGAGTCAATGGTATGGTACCAGGGCCTCTTGTTCGTGAAGAAACGTGGTCGACAAACTGGTTCGAACTTGGCTGCTCGCTCCAAATGTTGAGTTTCCATTTGAGTTTGGATGGATTTTTTTCCGGTTTTCTTAATCAGGATGCCGTGTGATCTAGGCTGGACAGATTTATCAAAAGTTTGAGTGCAAGGGACGCTTTGATAGGGGACAAGTCGTAATGTTGTAACTGGAGCCTTCCTGGCTTATTGCTGTTATGTTTGAGAGTTTTTATGTCAATCGGTAAGCTTTTCTTTTTTCAATTTTGGTGGTTTTTTATGCGTGTGTATTTAGGATGGAGAAGGTGCGACATTGCTTGTTACAGCTGGCTTCTTGGCTGTGAGTGCTCTACTTGCTTGTCCGTAAATCTCACATAAACATGGACCATGATCCTTGGTTGAGTTGATTGCAAAAACAGGAAGGCTGGTGATCGTCATTATGAAAACTAAGTGCTTGCTTGTGTCGAGTACCTTGGTTACATGGTGCACATTCAAGTTGCCACCAATTCCTACAACACACTCCAAAGTGATCTCAAACAAGCTGGCATCTTTAGAACCAAATGGAGGTGAGGCTTGGGCCCCAGCTTGCCGCAAACTGTATGGAAGAAAATGGAGCAACTAAATAGCTAGTTCCTCAATAATGAGTTTGGATGGCAACAAGGTACCCATTGGGATCATGGAATCTGGTATACTCCCAATTGAGGCCTGTGTGTGGAGGAACACAATGCAGTACCTTCTGAATCTGATAGGCCACCAGCAAGAGAAATGGCTCATCAACCTTGCAGACACAACCGGACTTCAGGGTGGTGGCACGAATTTGTGGACAACACGTCTTGGAATACGAAAACATTGCCTATGTCCCAGCACAATGGCTTCAACGAGCATTTCAATGGTGGCTCCGAGGTGCAGATCATGACCAAAAGCTCACTACTACATCTCCACAGTCAACACGGATCGGAGAGAATCTAGGGACAGAAACATCACAGAATTTTGGCACGATACAAAACAGGCCAGCATCTTTGCTCTGAGGTCAGCAATTGGGACGCATGCAAAATGCCATGGGAGGGACACATCTGCTACTTATGTGCTCAAGCGATCAAACCTGGTCAACACTTCGTCTAGCTTACAACCAACAGCGAGCTGCTGAGCCACTCCTCGGCTTCACAATGCTGCTCCCACTTTTACTTCAACACAAAGAACATGTCAGACTCAGCGAATACCTGTTAATAACAACACGCGCTGCTGTCCATCCTCGAACCACACCATCGCCAACTTCAAACAAAACTCTAGACATATACAACATCATCAAGACACCCTTGCTCAAGCTAAGACACTCCACCTGCTCAAGTGAAGACATCTAGAGCCCACATCGAGTCCCTAAACATTAGGATTCCAGAGAGCTGTGAAACACAAGGATAGTTTAGAGTATTCAAAAAGGTCAGCCCTCGTGATCAACACTATCACTTATTTTAAGCTCTAAACAGCTATACAATATCCATTTACTGGTGTGTTTCTAACAGGATTTCCAGGCGAGGTCACTAGAAAACTATCACCATGCTTGATTGTAGGCCACTGCATTATGTATTTTAAGCTAATAAAGAAACGTGAACTGGAGGATTCCAAGTTCCAACCTGTGCAAGCTTCAAGTCATGTCTTCTGGCACGTTCTGACTACCATTAATACAGTGTTAAACCAGCTGTGAAATGCAAGGATGAGCTTTAGTCAAACCTCATGATCCACACCATCACTAATTTATAACATAGCCCAGAGTATAAAAGCTAGGCTATTGGATTGGAAGCCATCACACAATTCACACAACACAATGGCAAAGATTCAACTCTCATCCATATTTTGCAGCTTTTGTTCCTCTCTCTTGTGGTTTCAATGACTCTTGCGATAGGTATGTTAAAAATTTAAATCTTTAGCCATAAAGTTTTCTAACAAATGTTTTAGTTGAGAATGGCATTGTTGCCAGAAAACTCTTGCAAGGATGTAAAAATTGTTCTTGAAGGATATTCGAAGGATAGCGATTGTTGCCAAGGCCATTGTGCCCTTCAAGGCTTTGACATTGGAGGCATTCCTTTTGGAACATGTGTGATTCTCTAATTTATATTTACTAATTAGAGAGTTTCAAATTGTTGAAACTTTATTGCCATTTTCATTTCTATGCTTTTCAATAATAATATATATCTTGTAGTGCCTAACAAGAGGGTATTTATTGGGTAGATTCCCCAAATGAGGATATTGATACTAAAAATTTAACAGAAAAATTGAATAAAATTTTATATGTATCACATAGGTGATAAAGTGTATGTTTGGGTGGCTTTTCCATCTACTCTTTTAAAGACTTTCATTAAGGAAATGAAGAAATAAACTTTCATCTCATTATGCTAGGTCATTTGAGATTATTAAGAAAATCAATAATGTAGCATATAAGCTAAAGCATAAAAGTATGTATATCAAAATTTTCATGTAAATTAACTCAAGATTTCTTTTGTTTGCAATGAGAATTAAATTGATCTAGATAAAGTCTTATAAAAAGGTTAAAGAGGATGATATGTCTGATATATATAAGCAACTTAGAGCTCTTTACCAAAAATGATGTTGTAATTGAGAAAAGTGTATTGTTTGGTTGTGATGTCTTTGAATGCAAAAACTTCTTATAAGGAAACAAAAAATATTCAAAGAAATATTTCATAAAGTTACAAAATAGAAGTAGCTAATATAAATGAAAAATGGAAGCACTTTTTTTATCAAAAAAATGAAAATTCAGAATTGAAAGATAGCCATGGTTAAGGGTATGTGGTTGGAGATCTATAATATAGAAAGTTAACATATAATGTTTGTATGGTTTGATGGAGTTTCGTGGAGTTATTGGAGATCTAATAAATATCCCATAAATTTTCATATACATAGTGCATGACAAACAACCTCTACATCTTACCCAAGACTACAATGCAAAATGTGTTAATCTTTTTTTATATAATTGTTATAGGCAATACATTGTTGGTAAAATAGAAACTCAAGCTTAATAGGATATGTTCTTTCTTCAGTAGGCCCAAGTCTCTAGAAATTAATATGTTCCAAAAACATCTCTAGAGCCAATATAATAGAGGTAATATGCTCTTTTGTCTTCCCTGACAAATTTGAATTGCCATAGGTGCCACCAAAATCCTCAACTTCACCATTATATCCCTCCATCTTGTCTCAATAGGAACTATATGACTTTTCTTTCACAATATCAGTATAGCACACATCATTTCATGTATAAGGTGTTATGCACACTCAAGCATCATAGTTTATACAAATACAACATCACAGTCATGTCACATTCACACTTCTCTAGTTATGACCTTGTTATGTTAGCAGAGTCTTTCACAATTCCTTAGCTCACAATCTTTGAGTGCTATATCACTATTATTTTAGCTATAACCTCATCAAAGTTTTTATAGTATGCAATTTGTAAAATGGTATAAATTACAATGATGGATTTCACACACAATGGGGTGTTTATATGACATTTTTCTATTGAATAAATATTAAATATCAGTCCTATGGCAATGGATGCCCCTATGCATTGTTCTTGATACTAGCACAATGGGTGGATAATATCCTATAATATGGACCCATTGTGCATCATTGCCACATATATTCATGTTATTCATCAAGTTTGACCACTGATCTAAGAAGTCTTAGGGTTCAAGAGACTCCTTGCTTTAACACCTTGCCTCAATGCCCTTTCATTTAGCATGTTTCTTAGCATTAAATGTGGAAAGTAATCTAGTTTGTTGGTGATTGGTTTAAATTATTTTTACTGATAGCGTTGGAAGTGGCTTCGAATCCCTACTAATTTGCTCTTTATAGATATTAAAGTTTCTACCATATAAATATAGTTCTCTTCTATTTGGCTCCATTTTGCATACCGGTGGCCTAACGCATGGACATAGGTACTCCACCAGTTAGCATGGAATGGAACTTGGGCTTAGACCCAAGCCGGACGTAAAACAAGGATAGGCACGCAAATGGGAGCTAGACTATGCCTCAAGTTGGTTGGCTATGCCCGACCTACCCACTATCCTTACTATACATTTGGAACCCCCCACAACCCGCCCCCCCCCCCCCCCCCCATGAGGAACACACGCTTTGGGCTTTCACTCCAAGCCTCCCTTAGTATTAGGAGTTAGTCTCTGGGACAAACTTGAAACTTACTAAATATGAAATGTCCCTAGATTGCGAATTTGGACACAGGATGAACAAAACGATTTTTACACTCCGTAGATATGGCAAATTTGGACACTTTCCATAAATAGCATTTGGGACCGAAATGAGACCAATATACAAACATGGTAAGCTATCATTTAGCGATATTGAGGGACCAATCTCAATATTGCGGGGGTTCTTGATACTAGCAAGTTTGGACTTCCCGGGAGGTCACCCAGCCCAGTACTATTCAAACCCAAAGACACTTAACCCCAAATATCCCAAGACCCTTAACCGTTTGGAAAAAAGGGTGCACTCTTATTCATGGGCCCTTTCCCTCTATATTTGAACCCCATGGACCATCTCTCGAGTCGTTCCCTTTGGTTGCTTACAATAGGGTTCCTACCTTATGTTTATCCAATCTAAGTACACGGTTATTGACCAGTTTCTCAACTAGCTCAAGTGGGAAACTAATAACGGGTTCAGCAATACCGACCTCCTGCCATCGTGGCAGTAAGGAAAGAATATCCGAAAGGACTAACTAATATATAACTTTCAATACCCAAAGTCACATTCGCAACACTCTTCGAGGTTTACTTCAAATTTATGTCACTAAAACCTTTTTTTTCAAGTTTACTAAAAGACATGGAGGAAAAGGAGGATGGCCCTCCATCCAATTTTAGTGATTTAGATTGTGGTTCAAGTGTGGATAGTAATAATAATCTTGTTCCAAGTTCAATCATTTTTTAGCTTCTTAGATTCAATTTAATTGCATGTTTCTAGATCTTCTATGATTTTTTGCAATTAAAGGGATTCAGTAGTCTAGTGGTATTTGGCACTTGGATGTACTTAAATATCCTTAAGACTAAGACTATTGCCTACCTCACAGGCTATTTTAGAATTTTCAAGCCAACATTGTACAAATATATGTGGCTTATCAATGTAAGTTGGAGAAGTGTATACTATAGGGTACCACTTGAAAAGGTACTTAATCATATATGACACATGACACATGAAGGGTTTAGGTTCCATTTCATGGTTATCTTATGGTAAATCATCATTGGATAAAGGGAGAAAATCATGTACACTACACTAATATAGTTCATAATTAAATCACTTTTCAAGGAAAAGCCAAAGCTCAACTTTTACTAAATAATTTTATCTAAAACATAACTAACTCAATTTTCCACTCAACTCATTTAAATGTTAATATAATTGCTAAATAATAAAATGCACGAATGTTAATAACACAAAAGATTTAACTGAATCATTAATACCATCTGCATGAAGACATAAAGAGACATCACATTTCACTTTAATCTTAATATCAACAATATTAATAACAAGACATCACCTCAATACTAAAACAAAGCTAGAAAAAAAGTAAGAGTGAATGACCACTTAAAGCTTTCAAGCAACCAAGTTAACCAAAGTCGAAGATACTTTACTTAATATCCAAGATCAAGTCTTTAGCGATACTTAGTTACAAATGACATATTATCAAGGAGTGAATTACCATATTTAAACATTAATGAAATCCAACACCATAAACTAAACGCAACTAAATGATATCAATAGAAATAAATTAAAATGCTAATTTGGAAAAACTATATAAGTCTAATGACATGATCCTTTATAATACTGTCTGGTAAAGCAAGCGTATCACCACTAAATTATCATTGAGTGAAGTGTTATTAATCCTTGACAAAGTTTATAAGTAATCATTAGTTGCAAAACAATTAACAATCACTTTTCAATTTACCTTCACAAAACCTAAACAGTCAACTCCTGTCATTAAGTCATATATTTATCCAAATCGAAAGGTAACACTCAAGTACAACATAAAGGTTCACAAACAAATATAGATAAAATAGCTATTTGAATCTAATCATACAGCAATAAACTCACTAACACGTTTAACCAATAGCTCTAAGCATAACCAATGAGGTTAATTATCCATGATTAACACCCAACCAAAACTAAAGTGAAGACCATGAGATGGACTCAAAAAAATACACAACCTTTTAATGAACAAAGTTATAGTATGGGTACTAACACCTTAATTGCAAATAGCTAAATTCAACATCACTATCCTCAGCCAAAGGACAAGGCTACCAAAACTAAGTTAAGATTAGTGAGATCTCACTACTCTTATAGAGTTTAATAAAATGTAATATGTAACTTACCACTAAGTATAATGTTACAAAAGAAATACATAAAGGTCATCTTTCTAAAATAGCACAATAACCACTTTTTTTTGCTAACTTCAAACTTTATCTAACTTAATTGTTTTAGCCTTAAAAGTCAATATCCTTTTATTACCAACCCCTTCACTAGTTTGTAATGGCTTTTGAAAATAAAATGGTTCTTGAGTAAAATGATCAACAAATTAGCTATTGGAAAAGTTTTAAGAAATTTGTGAAAAATAAATTATTCTACGAAAGACTCAACCAACTTCCTTCTACTTACAACTTTATATAAGTTCACCTCAATGTAAATTCTCATGACCTAACAATATGCTTAAGTATCATATAATCGGCATCCAACTTTAATATCCACAAAATGCAAATAAATACCCAACACTCATCACAAAAGCTATATATTCAAATATCCATATTGCACTAACACTCTTCTTTAATTACCTTCAAAATTTAATATAGTGCCAAAACAGTAACAAGAAAAATGACATGAAATTCAAGGTCTATGGAAAATTCCTCATCATTTAATATAATAATACCACTTCCAAATGCTAGTAATGTTGATGCCTTAGCTACACACTTTTTCTATTCAATAATCTACTCCAAGTGCCTATAAATTCACCAACAAGTGAATGTCATAACCCTTTCCAAAACTTTATAGGCAAATTCTCAAAGAATCAAGGTATCATCACAAGTTTAGTGTAATGGATGAAAATTTAAATATAAAGTTACTATAATGCTACTACTTGCAAGTAGACCAACTTCTC